AAAGCAATGTGCTGAAATATATATATATATATGTGTGTGAGTGTACAGTAATTTTCGGACTATACGCCGCAGGTTTTTTATGTTTAATTACCGTATGGTTTGTGCACAGAGAGGATTGTCGGGAAAGAGGCAACTGATTTGGGGAAGCTCCTGTTTATTAACATTTCAGTACAACTGAATTGAGACAATTCTTCCTGCTGGCGTCTCCAACGTCTCACCATTGACTCGTTGATTCCAAGGTTACGTGCAGCGGTTCTATTTCCTTCGTTTACTGTCAAATTGGCTGCCTCTAACTGCATCATATGCATTTCAACATTTGTTTTCCAGAATGAGGGAGTCACACAAACTGTCTTGGGCTCGCAATGTCCGTCTGCTTCCGGCAGAGATGGCAAAAGTACTTGAGTAAAAGTACAGATACTTGTGTTAAAAAATACTCTGGTAAAAGTGGAAGTACTGATTAAACTTCTTTACTCAAGTAAAAGTAACAAAGTACAGGCTTGTAAATTTACTTAAAGTATAAAAGTAAAAGTAGAAACCACTTTTTTCATGCCGTTGCCTACATTTTAAATGGATGTCTGCCAATAGGACTAGATCTCCGTTGTGTTCATTTTCAATCATCTCGTCGTCCATGCTACTATGCTAACGCCACCGCCACCAAGCTGCAATGATTTGCCGCCAATGAATACCGCCGAATCTGTCGATTCATCTTGTAGTGGTGCGTCAAATGCAACGTAGATTCCCATCCAATTAGATTGAATTTGGTATTGATGACGTGAAAAATAATAACGGTAACTCCATCGAAATGATTCAAAACTAAAGTAACGAGCCAATTTTTTTAAATGTAAGGAGTAGAAAGTACAGATATTTGTGTAAAAATGTAAGTAGTAGAAGTAAAAAGTCGCCATAAAAATAAGTAGTAAAGTAAAGTAGCAGGGAAAAAAATCAGTTGTTGTGGAGAATTGTGTGGGTATGGCGAGTGGGAAAGAACAGGAGTTGGAAGACACGCCAGCAGCACTTTCTACACTCACCGGCCACTTTATTAGGTACACCTGTCCAACTGCTCGTTAACACTTAATTTCTAAGCAGCCAATCACATGGCAGCAACTCAGTGCATTTAGGCATGTAGACATGGTCAAGACAATCTCCTGCAGTTCAAAGCGAGCATCAGTATGGGGAAGAAAGGTGATTTGAGTGACTTTGAACATGGCATGATTGTTGGTGCCAGAAGGGCTGGTCTGAGTATTTCAGAAACTGCTGATCTACTGGGATTTTCACGCACAACCATCTCTAGGGTTTACAGAGAATGGTCCGAAAAAGAAAAAACATCCAGTGAGCGGCAGTTCTGTGGGCGGAAATGCCTTGTTGATGCCAGAGGTCAGAGGAGAATGGCCAGACTGGTTGGAGCTGATAGAAGGGCAACAGTGACTCAAATAACCACCCGTTACAACCAAGGTGGGCAGAAGAGCATCTCTGAACGCACAGTACGTCGAACTTTGAGGCAGATGGGCTACAGCAGCAGAAGACCACACCGGGTGCCACTCCTTTCAGCTAAGAACAGGAAACTGAGGCTACAATTTGCACAAGCTCATGGAAATTGGACAATAGAAGATTGGAAAAACGTTGCCTGGTCTGATGAGTCTGGATTTCTGCTGCGACATTCGGATGGTAGGGTCAGAATTTGGCGTCTACAACATGAAAGCATGGATCCATCCTGCCTTGTATCATCGGTTCAGGCTGGTGGTGGTGGTGTCATGGTGTGGGGAATATTTTCTTGGCACTCTTTGGGCCCCTTGGTACCAATTGAGCATCGTTGCAACGCCACAGCCTACCTGAGTATTGTTGCTGACCATGTCCATCCCTTTATGACCACAATGTACCCAACTTCTGATGGCTACTTTCAGCAGGATAATGCGCCATGTCATAAAGCTGGAATCATCTCAGACTGGTTTCTTGAACATGACAATGAGTTCACTGTACTCAAATGGCCTCCACAGTCACCAGATCTCAATCCAATAGAGCATCTTTGGGATGTGGTGGAACGGGAGATTCGCATCATGGATGTGCAGCCGACAAATCTGCGGCAACTGTGCGATGCCATCATGTCAATATGGACCAAACTCCCTGAGGAATGCTTCCAGCACCTTGTTGAATCTATGCCATCAAGAATTGAGGCAGTTCTGAAGGCAAAAGGGGGTCCAACCCGTTACTAGCATGGGGTACCTAATAAAGTGGCCGGTGAGTGTAGGTCTGCTGTATGGGACCACTTTGCATTTAGAGTGACCTACGATGGCGGCGGAAAGAAAGCTGTGGATAAAAGTGCAACAGTGTGCAAGCATTGTGCAACACGTTTTGTTTATGCTAACAGCAACACGACCAACATGTCATGCTAACCCCGAAATCCCTCATACTCCGTCAGCGCTCCGCCCCGCTGCGCTCCAGACCGGCTGCTCAAAGCAAAGCCTACAGCCTCCACTGTGGCTCCCGTCCGCTCCGCTCTGAGTTCCTTGGAGATGGTAGAGGGCATGCGCCAGATGATTAAATTCAAAGCAGCAAAATAGCGGAAATGATCTCTGACTGTGGGAGGGTTTTGTTTCTATTTATGTTCAGGTGATTTTAGTTAGTTTGGAAATAGGGGTTATCTCTTTAGTGCCTATTCGATTGATTCATCTATTGTTGTTTAAAATTCATTAATTCATTCATTCATTGAACAAACAAACGGTAAAACTTCTGCTGCATCAGTGACTAAAGCATTACTTCACACTAACCCAAAGAATTAGGAAAAGGATTTGATTAGCATATAATTCTAAGAAGAAAAGAACAGAGCGAAGAGGAAAAATTCCTGACGGTCAGTCAGGTCCGGTCCGTCTGATTGGAGGAGCTTTAAATCCTCAATCATCTGCAGGTAATCCTGTGTAAACACACACTGCATCACTGGACCACACAGGAGACAGATGTGAACTCTCGGCGGTGTTCATCAGCTCCTCCAAACATGCCTTTTCTCCTTTCCTCCGTTTCCATGGTAACCAGTAGCCGGAGGCCATTATTCTTAATAGCTACCTCGGGCCCGTAAATGTCTGAGTGTGTGTGAGTTTTAAAGCACACGCTCCGACTCGACAAACCCCACGAGGTGAAGTTTGATGTGCTGCTCTCTCCGTGGAAACCGGCATTTATGGAATTACAGCGGAGCATCGGGCGAGTGGGAGCAGCAGGATGTTCTGCTTCTTCTCTCTCTACGTTAATCCCACCGTTTCAGCCCGCCGATCCCATTGGGTGCCGATCAGCTCCTGCACACTCACTGTGTTTTTTGGAAGGTTTTAATAGCAACATGACTCTCTGATGCCATAAAATCCATCCAATAGATGAGTGGAAATAACGATAGAGGGACCTGAAGACGCCCACACTTCTTTATTTTGCTGGATATTGAATAACTGGACCCGGTTCTGCAATCATGCAAAACATTCTGCCATAAGATCTAAGATAGAAATTAGCAGAGAGGTTCTGATAACAATATTAATTAATTTCACGACCATCATCAGTGGGAGCTTCTCTTTCCCGCCAAGGAGCATCAACACTGAGGACCTCATAGTGCTTATAAAACATGCTAAATAACAAATAAGGATGTAGTTCATGTAAAAAATGTATAAAAAACCTTCAGATCAAACACTAAAAAACGGATCTAGAAATAAGTGAACATTTCTAGAAATCTGCGTACTTGCCTGTAACTCAAGCAGTTCAATAAGAAGATTTTGCCCAGTTTTAAGATATACCAGATAATATACACATAAAAGAAGCTAATGGAGTAGATCTTCTTATTCTAAATATAAAACTACTTAATCTATTAAAAAATGCTTTTACTAACTGACTCAAATGAAAGGAAAAGAATTAATAAAAGGACGTACAATGTCTGGATGCTCATCCTGCAGTGACTGCAGGACGGTCATGCAGCGTATCCTGCCGTCTCTCTGGAACTCGTTCTCAAGATAAAGCAAATTATTGTTTAACATAAAAGTATATTTTTAATCCCACCAGAGAACCAGTAAGGACTGAAATAAACTAGAGAACCACACAGACTGATGAGGCTGATGTGTTACCTGAGGTAGAGAGCAGTGAATCACAGCAGCTGCACTGTCAGCGGCTAACTTAGCTGCAATCAGTTATTCTCCAACTTTTATTAGTGCAGCTCACAGCAGGACGTCATCTGCCCAGAATTTAGATTCTATTTTCATATTTCTTTGCACAAACATCTGGATGTTTCCCTTCATGTTCTGAAAGCTTGCTTGTCCAGAGTCCATCGTAACAAAACACTGAGAATCATTTTAAGGATAAATGTCCTAAATTTGATTCTTGTCTGTTTTTTAAACCGTAGTTTATGTGTTTCTATTTGTTTGTAGCTCAGAATTTTTTGGGGGATTTTTCATTTTCCATTAGAAAATAAACAGATCTAAATAAACTGAGATAATTGTTTATGAAATGAGACGATTTCTAAACGAACATCATAGAGATGAAGTCCAGAGTAGGTGAGACCAGTTTGACTCTTTTATTGCATTTATTGTTTTCCACCCAGTGCTTTTCTTCCAGGAAGATGCTGATTGTGTTTATTCTGTAGAGCAGATTCCCTCCTTCAGTGGTTATGATGAACCTACAGGGTTTTATAGATATAGAGGACAGAGACTGGGAGCTCCCTGACTGTGGATTCCTGAGTTGGTCATCTTAACTAGATTTACTGACTCTTTTTGGAAGTCTTGATAAAGATTCATTACCAAATCAAACTCATTGTTGCCCATTATTTTGGTTTGAGGCAGTGAAGACGGGAGGCAATAAGAACAGTGAAAATATTTTGTTTGTGGGCCGCTCCTAAAAAAAAAAAAAAACCAGCAGAGGAGAGCAGTTCAGTTTATTAAATCCGGACATATTGCTCCAGGGCTGCAGGAGGTTTTTCAGACAGTAAAATGAAAAAGAGTCAGAAAGAGGAAAACAGGATGAGAGGAGATGGGACTCACTTTTTCCTGCTGTCGTATCGCCCCTGTGTTCCCAGGCTCTGTGGAGGAAACAGGAGGAAGTCATCAGTACCTGCGCAGGATGACGACGAGCGGCCACAAACATTGACACAACGCACATGAAGAAAACAACATGAATGCATCTGGTGTGTTTAAGGTTGGAAGAACAGAGAAACATCTTTTTTTAAATCAAACCCAAAGCTGAACTCTCTCTGCTACAGTTCCTTCAATATGAGAGTTTTATGATTCTCCATCAGCTGGATTAAGCACAGAGAGAGAGATATCCTCAAAACAACAACTTACCAATGGTTCAGCCCTAAAAGAGCCCACAGTCAGTGAGTCAGTGAGTCAGTGAGTGAGTCAGTGAGTCAGTGAGTGAGTCAGTGAGTGAATGAGTCAGTGAGTCAGTGAGTGAGTGAGTGAGTCAGTGAGTGAGTGAGTGAGTGAGTCAGTGAGTGAGTGGGTGAGTCAGTGAGTGAGTGAGTCAGTTAGTGAATGAGTGAGTCAGTTAGTGAATGAGTGAGTCAGTGAGTGAGTGAGTCAGTTAGTGAGTGAGTCAGTTAGTGAGTGAGTCAGTTAGTGAGTGAGTCAGTTAGTGAATGAGTCAGTTAGTGAGTGAGTGAGTCAGTGAGTGAGTGAGTGAGTGAGTCGGTGAGTGAGTGAGTGAGTCAGTGAGTCAGTGAGTGAGTCAGTTAGTGAGTGAGTGAGTGAGTCACAGAGTGAGTGAGTGAGTCAGTGAGTGAGTCAGTGAGTGAGTGAGTGAGTGAGTCGGTGAGTGAGTGAGTGAGTCAGTGAGTCAGTGAGTGAGTCAGTTAGTGAGTGAGTGAGTGAGTCACAGAGTGAGTGAGTGAGTCAGTTAGTGAGTCACTGAGTGAGTGAGTGAGTGAGTCAGTTAGTGAGTCAGTTAGTGAGTGAGTCACTGAGTGAGTGAGTGAGTGAGTCAGTTAGTGAGTCAGTTAGTGAGTGAGTGAGTCAGTTAGTGAGTGAGTGAGTCACTGAGTGAGTGAGTGAGTCAGTTAGTGAGTGAGTGAGTGAGTGAGTCAGTTAGTGAGTCAGTTAGTGAGTGAGTGAGTGAGTCACTGAGTGAGTCAGTTAGTGAGTGAGTGAGTCACTGAGTGAGTCAGTTAGTGAGTGAGTGAGTGAGTCAGTTAGTGAGTCAGTTAGTGAGTGAGTGAGTGAGTCAGTTAGTGAGTGAGTGAGTGAGTGAGTCAGTGAGTAAGTCAGTGAGTCAGTGAGTCAGTTAGTGAGTGAGTCAGTTAGTGAGTGAGTCAGTTAGTGAGTGAGTCAGTTAGTGAGTGAGTCAGTTAGTGAGTGAGTCAGTTAGTGAATGAGTCAGTTAGTGAGTGAGTCAGTTAGTGAATGAGTCAGTTAGTGAGTCAGTTAGTGAGTGAGTGAGTCAGTTAGTGAGTGAGTGAGTGAGTCAGTGAGTCAGTGAGTGAGTGAGTGAGTCAGTTAGTGAGTCAGTTAGTGAGTGAGTGAGTCAGTGAGTGAGTGAGTCAGTTAGTGAATGAGTCAGTTAGTGAGTGAGTGAGTGAGTGAGTGAGTCAGTTAGTGAGTGAGTCAGTTAGTGAATGAGTCAGTTAGTGAATGAGTCAGTTAGTAAGTTAGTGAGTGAGTCAGTTAGTGAGTGAGTGAGTGAGTCAGTGAGTGAGTGAGTGAGTCACTGAGTGAGTGAGTGAGTCAGTGAGTCAGTTAGTGAGTCAGTTAGTGAGTCACTGAGTGAGTGAGTGAGTCACTAAGTGAGTCAGTTAGTGAGTGAGTGAGTGAGTGAGTCAGTGATTGAGTGAGTGAGTCACTGAGTGAGTCACTGAGTGAGTGAGTGAGTCACTGAGTGAGTCAGTTAGTGAGTGAGTGAGTCAGTTAGTGAGTGAGTCAGTTAGTGAATGAGTCAGTTAGTGAGTCAGTGAGTGAGTGAGTCAGTGAGTCAGTTAGTGAGTCAGTTAGTGAGTCACTGAGTGAGTGAGTGAGTCACTGAGTGAGTCAGTTAGTGAGTGAGTGAGTCAGTTAGTGAGTGAGTCAGTTAGTGAATGAATCAGTTAGTGAGTGAGTGAGTGAGTGAGTCAGTTAGTGAGTGAGTCAGTTAGTGAATGAGTCAGTTAGTGAGTGATTGAGTGAGTGAGTCAGTGAGTGAGTCACTGAGTGAGTGAGTGAGTAAGTTAGTGAGTGAGTGAGTCAGTTAGTGAGTGAGTGAGTGAGTCACTGAGTGAGTGAGTGAGTGAGTGAGTCAGTGAGTGAGTGAGTGAGTTACTGAGTGAGTGAGTGAGTCAGTGAGTCAGTTAGTGAGTCAGTTAGTGAGTCACTGAGTGAGTGAGTGAGTCACTGAGTGAGTCAGTTAGTGAGTGAGTGAGTGAGTGACTGAGTGAGTCAGTTAGTGAGTCAGTTAGTGAGTGAGTGAGTGAGTCAGTTAGTGAGTGAGTGAGTGAGTGAGTGAGTGAGTGAGTGAGTCAGTGAGTGAGTGAGTGAGTCACTGAGTGAGTGAGTCAGTTAGTGAATGAGTGAGTCAGTTAGTGAATGAGTGAGTCAGTGAGTGAGTGAGTCAGTTAGTGAGTGAGTCAGTTAGTGAGTGAGTCAGTTAGTGAGTGAGTCAGTTAGTGAGTGAGTCAGTTAGTGAATGAGTCAGTTAGTGAGTGAGTGAGTCAGTGAGTGAGTGAGTGAGTCAGTGAGTGAGTCAGTGAGTGAATGAGTCAGTGAGTCAGTGAGTGAGTGAGTGAGTCAGTGAGTGAGTGAGTGAGTGAGTCAGTGAGTGAGTGAGTGAGTCAGTGAGTGAGTGAGTGAGTCAGTGAGTGAGTGAGTGAGTGAATGAGTCAGTGAGTCAGTGAGTGAGTGAGTGAGTCAGTGAGTGAGTGAGTGAGTGAGTCAGTGAGTGAGTGAGTGAGTCAGTGAGTGAGTGAGTCAGTTAGTGAATGAGTGAGTCAGTTAGTGAATGAGTGAGTCAGTGAGTGAGTGAGTCAGTTAGTGAGTGAGTCAGTTAGTGAGTGAGTCAGTTAGTGAGTGAGTCAGTTAGTGAGTGAGTCAGTTAGTGAATGAGTCAGTTAGTGAGTGAGTGAGTCAGTGAGTGAGTGAGTGAGTGAGTCGGTGAGTGAGTGAGTGAGTCAGTGAGTCAGTGAGTGAGTCAGTTAGTGAGTGAGTGAGTGAGTCACAGAGTGAGTGAGTGAGTCAGTGAGTGAGTCAGTGAGTGAGTGAGTGAGTGAGTCGGTGAGTGAGTGAGTGAGTCAGTGAGTCAGTGAGTGAGTCAGTTAGTGAGTGAGTGAGTGAGTCACAGAGTGAGTGAGTGAGTCAGTTAGTGAGTCACTGAGTGAGTGAGTGAGTAAGTCAGTTAGTGAGTCAGTTAGTGAGTGAGTCACTGAGTGAGTGAGTGAGTGAGTCAGTTAGTGAGTCAGTTAGTGAGTGAGTGAGTCAGTTAGTGAGTGAGTGAGTGAGTGAGTGAGTCAGTGAGTGAGTCAGTGAGTGAGTGAGTGAGTGAGTGAGTCAGTTAGTGAGTGAGTGAGTCACTGAGTGAGTGAGTGAGTCAGTTAGTGAGTGAGTGAGTCAGTGAGTCAGTTAGTGAGTCAGTTAGTGAGTGAGTGAGTGAGTCACTGAGTGAGTCAGTTAGTGAGTGAGTGAGTCACTGAGTGAGTCAGTTAGTGAGTGAGTGAGTGAGTCAGTTAGTGAGTCAGTTAGTGAGTGAGTGAGTCAGTTAGTGAGTGAGTGAGTGAGTCAGTGAGTAAGTCAGTGAGTCAGTGAGTCAGTTAGTGAGTGAGTCAGTTAGTGAGTGAGTCAGTTAGTGAGTGAGTCAGTTAGTGAGTGAGTCAGTTAGTGAGTGAGTCAGTTAGTGAATGAGTCAGTTAGTGAGTGAGTCAGTTAGTGAATGAGTCAGTTAGTGAGTCAGTTAGTGAGTGAGTGAGTCAGTTAGTGAGTGAGTGAGTGAGTCAGTGAGTCAGTGAGTGAGTGAGTGAGTCAGTTAGTGAGTCAGTTAGTGAGTGAGTGAGTCAGTGAGTGAGTGAGTCAGTTAGTGAATGAGTCAGTTAGTGAGTGAGTGAGTGAGTGAGTGAGTGAGTCAGTTAGTGAATGAGTCAGTTAGTGAATGAGTCAGTTAGTAAGTTAGTGAGTGAGTCAGTTAGTGAGTGAGTGAGTGAGTCAGTGAGTGAGTGAGTGAGTCACTGAGTGAGTGAGTGAGTCAGTGAGTCAGTTAGTGAGTCAGTTAGTGAGTCACTGAGTGAGTGAGTGAGTCACTAAGTGAGTCAGTTAGTGAGTGAGTGAGTGAGTGAGTCAGTGATTGAGTGAGTGAGTCACTGAGTGAGTCACTGAGTGAGTGAGTGAGTCACTGAGTGAGTCAGTTAGTGAGTGAGTGAGTCAGTTAGTGAGTGAGTCAGTTAGTGAATGAGTCAGTTAGTGAGTCAGTGAGTGAGTGAGTCAGTGAGTCAGTTAGTGAGTCAGTTAGTGAGTCACTGAGTGAGTGAGTGAGTCACTGAGTGAGTCAGTTAGTGAGTGAGTGAGTCAGTTAGTGAGTGAGTCAGTTAGTGAATGAGTCAGTTAGTGAGTGAGTGAGTGAGTGAGTCAGTTAGTGAGTGAGTCAGTTAGTGAATGAGTCAGTTAGTGAGTGATTGAGTGAGTGAGTCAGTGAGTGAGTCACTGAGTGAGTGAGTGAGTAAGTTAGTGAGTGAGTCAGTTAGTGAGTGAGTGAGTGAGTCACTGAGTGAGTGAGTGAGTGAGTGAGTCAGTGAGTGAGTGAGTGAGTTACTGAGTGAGTGAGTGAGTGAGTCAGTGAGTCAGTTAGTGAGTCAGTTAGTGAGTCACTGAGTGAGTGAGTGAGTCACTGAGTGAGTCAGTTAGTGAGTGAGTGAGTGAGTGAGTGAGTGACTGAGTGAGTCAGTTAGTGAGTCAGTTAGTGAGTGAGTGAGTGAGTCAGTTAGTGAGTGAGTGAGTGAGTCACTGAGTGAGTGAGTGAGTGAGTGAGTGAGTGAGTGAGTCAGTGAGTGAGTGAGTGAGTCACTGAGTGAGTGAGTGAGTCAGTGAGTCAGTTAGTGAGTCAGTTAGTGAGTCACTGAGTGAGTGAGTCAGT